GTGATCCACCCGCCTCGGCCTCCCAAAGTGCTGGGATTACAGGCTTGAGCCACCGTGCCCGGCCCTTTTTTTACTTTTTAAATGGTTTTATTTTATGTACAAATAATGAACAGATGTAGTACCCATAAATTCTACTTTCCAAAAACAGGAGCTTTTTAAAAGAAAACCACGTAACTTTTAAAAGGCATTGGGATTTCTCTGCTTCTAGATCATTGGTAGGCTAGAAAAATAAAGTTTGTTCTACCAGGATTCAGAAGTTGGAACTGAGTATTTTCCAAGGTGGAAATTCTAGCATGTAGTGTCGCTCTAGGCAAAGATTATTCAGTTCTCATCCCCAACATCCAAAACTACCTATCAGAAGGGTTAAACTAGGTCAAAACAGTCCAGCACAATTAGGCTTCATCAAACAATATCATTATGCTCTTCTGAGATGCAAATAAACCAAAACAGGAAATATTAAAATCAAAAGAGTATTTGACACTCTCATACAAATTGTTATTTCCTTGTCGTATCCCCTCTTCTATAACATTAATAAAGGGAATATTTTACTGAAAATAATATTTTATTTATACATCACTAACCATGAATTTTTGCCATTACTTATTATACAGAGGCTGCCCTGTGCCATTATCCAGATGGAATAAGCACTTTACATCCACAATTCACGTCTATAGTTATAAGCAGAATTTTCATGATTTACATAAGTACATCTGTCAGTGAAGATTTAACACTGAGATGTAACATCAGTAATATCTGATGTTTTATAGATGGCAATGTAGAAAAGATATATTTTAATCACTTTTCATTTAAGTAACCTTATGTAAAAAATAAACTAATAATTTAGCAGTTCCAAGTGTCCAAAGGGCATTTTCAAATGCACATAAAAGAAATGGTTACAGAGATTTTTAAGAAGCGTCTTCCATATCCACATCCTCTTGCACCTGCTGTACCATTTTCTATTCCAAATGCTTCCCTTTGCCTGCAAGAGGGGCTCGGATAAGATGGATGTTTTGCTTGACTTCTTTGATATCCTGAACTTTCTGTAGCTCTTTATTTTTCTTCAGTCTGTTCATTATAAATTTAGCTTGGCGTTTCTGTTTGATCTCTTCAACTCTCTTCATTGCATCAATAGTTTTATTCCATAGCTCTCGCTGGTATTTGAAAGGTTCATTTCTACGCTTTTCAAATTCAAATGAATTATCCACTGTAAGCTCTTTAGCAGCTGCTTTCCGGAATGCTTTGGTCCACCTAACTTTGCGAGGATTGCGCTTCTTTTTAAAGTTTTTATGACATTTAGATTTACAAAATCTGAACACCTTGCAATTGTTGCGTATGAACATCATGCCGTGGCCAGGGTAGATGGGCCCAGAACAGAAATAACACTTCTCAATACGCATGTTGAACCCGCGTGGGTCCCCACTGAGGAAACGCCAAGCTTCGGAGGAAGTCTAAGCTCAGATTAGATCTATTCCTAACTCAACTTCTCCTTAGATGGAGTCCAAAAATATCTTCTGCTACTCAAATATTATCCAATATAAAAAGAAGTGTAATGGTGAAAACATTGGTGTGGAGACAACATTGTTAACCAATTGCAAATAAAATGTCTTCTGCAGATTTCATAATTTTTAAAAAATATATAAACCAGTTGAACATGTTGCCATGGTCCCTATTGAGGCCTAAGAAAAATCTCATGCAGGTGAAGAGCCCTGAAGCTTAAACTTCATTAGTTTTTCATCCATGTCTCTAAGAGTAGAAGACTTTGTTTTTCATTATGGCTACATTCTCAGTACATAGAATAGTGTCTTACATGAATAGGTATACAATAAATATATTTTAAATGAAAAAATAAAGGAGTGGGAGGAGGAAGGAAAGAAGTAAGGGAGGAAGAAATGGAGGTAAGGGAGGAAGGGAAAGAGGAACGGAAGATGTGGAATAGTACTTTGCCTAATTTGTATTATAAAAGCATAACATGATTTTCCTACACTTGGCGAAAAATAACTAGCGTTAGTTATACTCATTTCCAAGGAAGAACATTACAACGGGACACATGAGGTACTTCAGGACCCTGAACTGCTCCACAGTTTAAGAGAACAAGTTAATACAAGGAGGAAATGGATGAGCCTGCTTTGAACTCAGAAAAGGAAGAACTATGATATGGCCCAGGAGAATGGAGTACTGGAGAAAAGAAATTTGGATAGAATCAAAAGAAGAAACTAAAGTTATGATTAAAGGTTTATATACACACATAAATCCAAGCAGGCATATCTAAGAAATGTTGGGCATACTGAAATCTTCTCCTGTTGACTCTAGAAAGGCAAGTGTTATTGATAAATCACATATCTCACATACATTGACTCATCAATTTTACTTAGGGTTGATATTCAGTAGCAACATACCAGTATGGCCACCCTGTAGTTAGAATATTTAAATACTTTCATAAGAGCTGGGAAAGAGTAATTTCCCCAGGTCCTTTAAGACTTGACCTATTGCCATGGTCACCCTGGCCCCTAAATTGGAATTTCCCAGACCCCCGCAACTAAAAGAGTAAGTCTAGGGTCACATCCTGCTTCAGCCATAAATTTGTTGTGATAGGTTACTGTGTTCATTGATGAGTCATTTGCATATATTCTCTGGTTCTACTGAGCAGTCAACATAGCTGTATGAAAGAAACCATGAACTAAGGGGAGGCCTAGTCTCACTCTTTTGCTACCCTGTGTGTTAGCCTAGGAATACAGCAATATAACTGTTTGCTTAGACTGATGGCTGTCTAGGGTTGGGGTTTCCTAGAGTGGAGCATTGGACAGGCAGTCAGCTTTCCCACAAAGCTAAATGAGGGCACAAGACAAGTCTCTTCTAGTTTTGTGGCATCTCTAGCAGCTAGCCCAGAGATGGAACATAGTACTAACACAAACTTTTTTTTTAAGTTGAACAGTACACAAGAAGGTAGAATTTTAAAGGTCTAGATCTGGAAAGATCATCTAAAATTATATTAAAAAATTATTTAAAAATTTCCCTGTTATGCAGTAGGGAATCTGAGGCCTGAAAAATTAAGGGTCTTGCCCAGAAACTATGAGTTTTTAACATAATTCATTAACAGAACCCTGGCCTCTTGTATCTTCATTCAGTGTTCTTTTTACTATACTTGGCTTCTCGTCTCAGATCCAAAGAGACAGGTAACCTCAGTACAAATTTCTCACAGCATGGAGAAATTCAGAGATGACCACAGTTCTCCGTCACCCTTGTGGCAACTGAAAATTTTAAGTGAAAGTCAGTTACACAGGGAAGTAATCTCATATAACAGCCGCAATTGTTTGGGTTTGCTCCTATTCTTGCAACTGGTGGGCAGAGTGAGGTCAAGAGTTTGGACAGAGTGGGAAAGTTTGGAACAGCCACTGTAGAATGTGTGAGGGGAAGATAATAGGAGTTGAAGATGAAGATTGTTGAAGGCTGGAAGAATGAGGAAGAAGTTGAGTAGAATGACTGCACATGGACAGTTCAGCATGGTAGATTTATTTATTTATGAGACAGAGACTTGCTTTGTCACCCAGGCTGGAGTGCAGTGGCATGATCTTGGCTCACTTCAACTTTGACCTCCTGGGCTCAAGGTGTTACTCCCACCTCAGCCTCATGAGTTGCTGGGATGACAGGTGACAGGTGTGTACCACCATGACAGCTGGTTTTTTAGTGTTTTCTTTTTTTAGAGAGAGAGTCTTGCTATGTTGCCCAGGGTGCTTTCAAACTCCTGGCCTCAAGATATCCTCACTCCTTGGCCTCTCAAAGTGTGGGATTATGGGCATGAGCTACCATGCCAAGCTAGTAGATGAATTTTAATAAATAATTATCCAGTCCCAAATTTCACAAATGCTGTTTGAGAAGTCCTGCCCTAGAAACATTTTAAGTGTTTAGCAGCCACTTGTGACTAGCAGCTATTAACAGCTCTGATACTAGAATATTTCTCTTGTCATTCTATCAGACAATTCTAGTCTGGAAGATTTTCAAGACTCTTTTTACCTCTGAGGTCCAAAGCAAAACAGTGGAAAAACAGAAAAACAACAAAAAGAGCAAGATAGTAAGGATCAAGCTTACTATCCTTACTAGGTAAACAAAAAAGATAATGAAAAAAGTAAGCAAAAGAATGAAATATAACTGCCTTTGAGGCATTAATTTCCGATTAAAGCCCTTAAACCTGCATAGTTCTTATCTGAAATAGAAAGCTCATATTTTGGTTCTGCATTTACTGTTCACACAAAAGTGTGGTATTTGGATCAAATAAACTATTGTCTCTCTGTGGGCCCATTGACAAACTAGATGCTGCTTTGTGATCTACTGCTGTGCATTACTTGTTGACTAATCCTATGCTTCTTTCTTGTTATCCTATTATTATAGCTATAAATACATAGTCCTACCTCTTTTCTTGACAGACACTTTACAGTGCAATAGAGAGTAAACAGGATTTACATTTAATATCCCCTCAGCTTTAATAATGACTGGTTTTAATTCTCCCTTTGAGTGCTGAAATAAAACACCTTCCTGCTCATAACATACCTGCATCCAATCCTGGGCACCTGATTTCTGAAGAAAAATGAGATGTCCTTGATATTTTAAAGTATCTGAATAGCTTCCAGGCAGAAGAGAAATGTTTTTTTAAAAAGTATCCAGTACTTAGAAATAAGAGCAGTGATTACTGAAGATCCTTTCAGTAGAATGCTGGGCAACTGTCTGATGGATACATGATGAATTAATATGTAGGGTTGTGTACATTTGATTGACTCTCTTTTGGAAGAGGTTAACTGGTAGAAAACCAATAGCAGTGCAAATGATTCTTGCCCATAGCAATGCAAATGGAATTTATCTATAGAGATATAATTGATTTTCTCCTAGCAGAAAAGATAATTCTGAAGTTTTCAATTTATTACCTTATATGGTATTAACCAGTTTTGCATGTATTAGCCTATTCACTTTAGTGCTGACTGCCTTGACTGCATAAACCTGTCTTCATATTTTCCCTCAAACTAGTTTTAACATCTTACTCTTTATTCTTTTTTTTTTTTTTTTGATGGAGTTTCGCTCTTGTTACCCAGGCTGGAGTGCAATGGCGCGATCTTGGCTCACCGCAACCTCCGCCTCCCGTGTTCAGGCAATTCTCCTGCCTCAGCCTCCTGAGTAGCTGGGAGTACAGACATGCGCCACCATGCCCAGCTAATTTTTTGTAGTTTTAGTAGAGACGGGGTTTCACCATGTTGACCAGGGATGGTCTCGATCTCTTGACCTCGTGATCCACCCGCCTCGGCCTCCCAAAGTGCTGGGATTACAGGCTTGAGCCACCACGCCCGGCCCTCTTTATTCATTAATGGGTGGAATAAAATCTTAGACACATTCACATTATATTTCTATAAGAATCATGCTTTTTAACTTTTTGAAAAGTATATTAGCAGAAATCTAACTTGGTCAGGTATTGCTCCTGAATCAAGTGTTATGAATCAACTGGATTTCATGAAAGCCATGGATTTTAAATTTATTATAATAAACTTCCTGACAGTTTGTGCTGATGAACTTCCTCAAATCTACTCACCATCCTTCTCTGTGCCCTGAGATTGGTTTATATGAATTATTGCAATGGCTTTTTTTTAACCCACATTTGAGAGTAAATTGAGGTGAGAGAGGCACCTAGGGTACAAAAGTTAAGGAGGCACTTACTCTCAGGGTCAACCTTGCAGTTACAGACCTGAGAATAAGTGCCTCCTTAGTTGTGTCCTGTGTGCCTCTCACCTCCCTAGCCTTACAGTAGTCCCAGCCCTGTCTTAACCCCCAGCTTTTGGTTGATTTTAGCCAATGGGAGGCAGGTAATACAGGTTCAAGAGGGCAAGGGGAGAGTGAAGTTCTAGTATTTATCACTTCAGATTCCTCCCTGGGATTTTGCCTTGTATGGGCAACATGCTGCTATTTTTGGATTCCTGTAATCTCTTCTTCAGTTCTGTAGGCCTGGGGTGGTTGCTGTTTCCGAGGCACTACATTATCTCTTGTGGTTTCCCCACACAATGGCCCCTTCTTAAATTCTGCTAAAGAGATCCACTTTTGTACCACCCGATTCCTGTTGCAAGGCCTGCAAATAGAAAGGGCTGCTTTTTTAAAAAAAATATATTTTATTGCACTTTAGGTTCTGGGGAACATGTGCAGAACATGCAGGATTGTTGCCTGGGTACTTACATGGCAATGTGGTTTGCTCCTCCATCCCTCCATCTATCTATATCTGGCATTTTTCCCCATGTTATCCCTCCACAACTCCCTACCCCACACTGTCCAACCCCTAGTCCCCCCAACAGACCCCAGTGTGTGATGCTCCCCTCCCTGTGTCCACGTGTTCTCATTGCTCAACACCTGCCTATGAAAAGAACATGCAGTGTTTGATTTTCTGCTCTTGTGTCAATTTGCTGAGAATGATAGTTTCCAGAT